ATATACAAATCTTTTTTTTTTTTTTTTTTTTTTTTTTTTGAGACAAGCTTCACGCTTGTTGCCCAGGCTGGAGTGCAATGGTGCGATCTCAGTTCACCGCAACCTCCGCCTCCTGGGTTCAAGTGATTCTTCTGACTCAACCTCCCAAGTAGCTGAGACTACAGGCATGCGCCACCACGCCCGGCTAATTTTGTATTTTTCGTAGAGACGGGGTTTCACCATGTTGGTCAGGCTGGTCTCAAACTCCCGACCTGAGGTAATCCACCCACCTGAGCCTCCCAAGGTAATCCACCCACCTGAGCCTCCCAAAGTGCTGGGATTACAGCTGTGAGCCACCGTGCCTGGCTATCATGTACAAATCTTTATGTGGTCATATGCCTCTTTTCTTTCTTTTGGGTAAATACATTGAACTGGGATGGATGGATCATATAGTAGGTGTATATTTAACTTTCAAAGAACTACCAAATGGTGTTCCCGAATGGTCGCACTGTGTTATACTCCCCTTGACATTGTATGAGTGTTTCAGTTCTCTTTATGCAGCTCTCTCCTCTTTGGGTCTTTGCCTTTCAGACTGTAGCACCTTAATACCCCCAAGCCTTGTCTTATCAACTCAGGGAGTCGGCCACACTCATCTTCGGTTCCCCATCCCTGTACCTCTTCAGTTCCCCATCCCCGCACCATGGCCTGCAAACACTCTCAAGACAGGAGGCTGAGGCAGTTGCAGGGCTTGTCTCATTGGTTTTCTGTTTCTCAGGGATTCCTGTCTTTCATTGCTGGATGTCTAATGTATTAAAAACCATTTATCAAGTATATATTTGGTCTGGCTCTTTGGTTGTTTCAGGTGAGGAATTAAATCTGGTTTCTGATACTCTGTCTTCTTGGCTGAAAGCATACGATTTCAGTGCCCTCTGCTGGGGAGGGGTGGAGGGCACTCAAGTTCCATTTGGACATTGAGTTAGAGAGGTTGTGAGAGTTTACATACCTGCTCTGGAGCCTTTACCCCACTGTTCCCTCTGCATGGAAAATGCTCTCCCTAGACCTGCATATGCCAAGGTCCAATATCATTCCAGGGCTTAAATCAATTGTCAGATAAGCTTTGCCTGTGTTACTCTCACTCCCTACTTGTTTTCCGTCCTGTTATCCTATTTTGTTCCCTTGATAGCACTAACACTTTCTGAAATTATGTCGTTTATTAACTCTTTTATTACCTATCCTACTGCGGTAAAATGTAAGCTCCATGTCAGCAGGGACCTTTCTGGTCATGTCCACTGTGCTAACCCATTTTGAGGGTGTCTGGCCCCTAGGGAGTGCTCGCTGTGAATTTGTGAAGTGAATATTAAGATGAAGATGATGCTAAGTAGGTAGTTGGATATGTGAGTCTGGAGCTCAGAGGAGAGGAAAAGTGAAGCCTGAAGATACCCATTTAAGAGTCACTGCTTAACGGTGGCGTTTAAATCCATAGGAATGAGTGAAACCCCTTGTGTTAGGGAAAAGAAGAGCAGACGGCCCAAGATAGGACGGTAAGAAACCTCCGAATATGGAGTTCACATCTCAATTGTGCCTTTTGAAATTCTTGTTATCCAGTTTTAGTTTTCTTCTCTTCCTCCTTGAAACTGCCTGCCAATTTTCAGAGCCCTCTCCTTCCTGTCTACCATCATGAGTTGTGCACTTTGCTTATTTTCCGGATTAAGATCATAAGCCTCTTAAAGGAAAGATCCTGTAGTCAAAATTACATTCTTGAATTGAATTGGGTTGGACTGGAGTGGACTAGAGTGATAAGTATTGTCACATTATAGAATTTCACCCACTGAAGTGCCAGTGTTAAATGTAGAATGGATACTGTGCCCAAGTTTTTAGTGAATTATTATTAACTTTCCATTACAAAAGCTTGTTTTTGTTCTTAAATCAATCATCAGATTTAACCCGGAAATCAACTCATGTAAACATACATGAGTTGATAAAATTGTATTTTTCTCTGAATTTTCAGGACATTGAAAGAGACTTGAAACAAATGAGGCTTCAGAACACAAAGGAAAGTAAAAATCCAGAACAGAAATATAAAGCTAAGGTAAGAAATACTTTTGTCTTTGGGTTCCATATTAAATAACTGGCTGGGGAACCACCTTGTGATCTGGGTTGCCTACATGATTTTCCCCCAACTATTTTATAGAATTGCTCTATTTTGTGATGTGAGACTAATGGTTTTAAGAATCTATAATGTCAAACAAAATTGACCTAGGGAGTTGTAATTTTAAGGCTTTTATTGAATTGCTAAACTGATTTTTTTTTTTTGCTTTCTCCTAGAAGGGGGTAAAGTTTGAAATTAATTTAGACAAATGTATTTCTGATGAAAACATCCTCCAAGAGGAAGAGGTATGCCATTAAGTCTAAATTTCCATTAGTAGGTATGAGAAAATGCATATATCTTACTTAATAGCCTGTTTCATGAAATTATTTCACAGGCTGTAGGGATAATTTTTTTCAACTTTTATCTTAGATTCAGGTGGTACATGTGCACATTTGTTACCTGGATATATTGTGTGATGTTGAGGTTTGAGATATGAATGATCCCATTACCCAGGTACTGAGCATAATACCCAGTAGTTAATTTTTCAAGCCTTGCTTCCCTCCTTTCTTACCCCCACTGTAGTAGCTCCCAGTATCTATTGTTGCCATCTTTATGTCCATGAGTACTCAATATTTAGCTCCCACTTATAAGTGAGAACATGCAGAATTTGGTTTTCTATCCCTATGTAATTTGCTTAGGATAGTGGCCTCTATCTGCATCCATGTTGCTGCAAAGGGCATGATTTCATTCTTTTTTATGGCTGCATAGTATTCCATGGTGTATATGTACCACATTTTCTTTATCCCGACCACCACTGATGGGCACCTAGGTTTATTCCATGACTTTGTTATTGTGAATAGTGCTGGGATGAACATGTGAGTATATGTGTCTTTTTGGTAGAATGATTTGTTTTCTTTTGGATATGTACCCAGTAATGGGATTGCTGGGTTGAACAGTTCTGTTTTAAGTTCTTTGAGAAATATCCAAACTGCTTCCTACAGTGGTTGAACTAATTTACGTTATATTTCCACCAACACTACATAAACATTCCCTTTTCTCTGCAGCCTCGCCAATATTTGTTTTTTGACTTTTTAGTAATAGCCATTCTGACTCATGTGAGATGGTATTTCATTGTGGTTTTGATTTGTATTTCTTTGATAATTAGGGATGATGAGTATTCTTTTATATAGTTGTTGGCTGCTTTTATGTCTTCTTTTGAGAAGTGTCTGTTTCTGTCTTTTGTCCACTTTAAAATTTGGGTTGTTTTTTCTTGTTCAGTTAAGTTCCTTATAAAGTCTAGATATTAAACCTTTGTTGGATGCATAGTTTGCAAATATTTTCTCCCATTATGTAGGTTGCCTGTTCACTCTGATGATAGTTTCTTTTGCTGTGCAGAAACTCTTTAGTTTAATTAGGTCCCACTTGTCAATTTTGTTTTTGTTGCAGTTGCTTTTGAGGACTTAATCACACACAAATTCTTTCCGAAGGCCCATGTTCAGAATGGTGTTTCCTAGGTTTTCTTCTAGGATTCTTATAGTTTGAGGTCTTATATTTAAATCGTTAAGTCATCTTGAGTTAATTTTTGTATACAGTGAAAGGTGGGGTCCAGTTTCATTCTTCTGCATATAGCTAACCAGCTATCCCAGCACCTTTTATTGGATAGGAAGTCCTTTCCCCATTGTTTATTTTTGTCGATTTTGTCAAAGAGTAGATGTCTGTAGATGGGTGGCTTTATTTCTGGGTTCTCTATTCTGTTCCTTGGTTTATGTGTTTGTTTTTGAACCTGTACCATACTGTTTTGATTACTGTAGTCTTACGGTGTAGTTTGAAGTTGGGTAATGTGATGACTCTGGCTTTGTTCTTTTTGCTTAGAATTACTTTGGCTATTTGGGCCCTTTTTTATTTACATATGAATTTTAGAATAGTTTTTTTTCCTTCCAATCCTGTGAAAAGTGACATTGGTAGTTTGACAGGAGTAGTGTTGAATCTATAGATTACTTTGGGCAGTATGGCCATTTTAATGATATTGATATTGTAGAATGTTTTTCCATTTGTGTCATCTAGAATTTCTTTCTGTGTTGTGTAGTTCTTCTTGTAGAGATCTTATACCTCCTTGGTTAGATGTACTCCTAGGTATTTTATTTTATTTTTTGGTGGCTATTGTAAATGGGATTACATTCTTGATTTGGTGCTGTGCTTGAATGTTATTGGTGTATAGGAATGCTATTGATTATTGTACTTTGATATTGTATCCTGAAACTTTGTTGAAGTTGTTCATCAGTTCCTGCAACTTTTGGGTGGAGTCTTCAGAGTTTTCAAGGTATAGTATCATATCCGTGAAGAGATGGTTGGGCTTCTTCTTTTCTTATTTGGATGTTTAGAATTTTAAAAAATGTTTCTAGAAAAATGTTTGGTGCTCAAGGCCGGGGCATAGCGTCTCATGGCTGTAATCCCAGCACTTTGGGTGGCCGAGATGGATCACGAGGTCAGCTAACATGGTGAAACTCTGTCTCTACTAAAAATACAAAAAATTAGCTGGGCGTGGTGTCTCCTGCCTGTAGTCTCAGCTACTTAGGAGGCTGAGGCAGGAGAATCACTTGAATCCAGGAGGCGGAGGTTGCAGTGAGCTGAGATCGCCTGCACTCCAGCCTGGGCGACAGAGTGAGACTCCGTCTCAAAAAAAAAGAAAGAAAGAAAGAAAAATGTTTGGTGTTCAAATGAGTCTTCCAAATACTTTTTATTCTCCCATTTTACTTTATTGGGGTATTTCTTTAGATAAATTGTTACATTTTAATGTACTTTCCTTTAAAGGAGCTATTTTACTCGTAATATTAATTTTTATCATAGCCAAATTAAAATAGAAGATCTGATACATTGTCAACAACTAATATACTGACCTGAAAAATTGAACAGGTACCCCGAAACCAGGCACATTTATTTTAGGTCTTAATTAGTTATTGATAACTTTGAGTAAATCTCATTCATGCATTTGGGCTCTCCTTGCCACAGCAAGGGGGAAATATGGTAAATCCAATATGGCAAATCCAAATTTCATTTTATTAGTTGATTTTAAAATCTTTTTTTATCCTGGTTTTATCAGACCTGTAACAAATGTCAAAATTAACTGGTTTATTTTCCATTTTACCTTTTCTGAATTCACCTTTTAAGTCAATATAAGTATGAATAATTATATCTGATGCTCAATCTATTTAATGTTTTTTATTAGCTTAAAACATTTTCATGTTAGCATTTCTTATTTTTATGAGCATTTACTACACAAAGACTTCATTAGAGTGGTGATAGCATTCACCTCTGTTCAACCGTAAGTTCCTAAATGCCTCAGAACTGTGACATCAGAGTGGAGCAGATCTGGGGACCTGCTTCTGGGTGGGAACTTGAGAAGTGGTACTCTCACAGAGCTTCTGTGAAGTGAGGTGCTGACGTTGCCCTACTGAAATGAAAGAATGGAGTCCAAAAGGTTTTAACTGCCACTCTTTCTTATTCTTTGCTGTGATCTGCTTGAAACTGAAGTGGTCATTTTGATATTGGCTACAAAATACTAGGAGCAGATTTAGGGAGCTGGTTTAAGAATGTCGTACACTTAAAACAGGGCATGAATGACAAAAGCTTGAGAGCACTGTAGAATGGAACTGAAGTGGAATAATATTGAAGTCAGAAAGTCTAGATAAAATTAAGTTGCCTTCTGACCAGTGCTTGACACTGTTAACATGGAGAAGAAATAAAAACATTTCTGTTTTTATCTTATTCTAACATAGCTCTAGTTTTAAAACTCTATGGATTTATTTGTTTAGTAAACATATGTTGAATGTTTACCATATACCTTGCTAATTAGTTTTACTAGGAACACGAAAATATGGTTTTTCTTTCTTTCAAAATATGGCTAATTTATCATGAAACACTGTGGAATTGATTTAGGCAATGGATATACTAAATGAAACTTTGACCTTTGAGGATGGCCTGAAGTTTAAGGAATATAAATGTGTAAAGGAGCATGGAGATTATACAGACAAAGCATTTGAGAAACTTCACTGCCCAGAAGCAGGTACGTGTCTCTTGAAAGCTGTAAATGAGAAGGAACTGTTTTATTAGCAACCCATCTTGAACTCTGTCCCCATGCATCTGCCTCGGCTCCACTGTTATTTGACCCTTCTCTGCTCTAAGCAAGGCGGAAACACACTTCCTATTCTCCTGCCACCCATGCAGTGACCACACTGCCTGAGATCCAGCCCTCCTCTCCTGCTCCACACCCACTCCCTCCTGCAGCTTCAGCTTCTCCTGGGAGCTCCAGACTTACCAGTCTTTCTCATTATCTTCTGGGAACCTCCATGGACAAGTGTTGCCAGTATCTGAAACTCAGCTGTGTAAAGTCAAGCTCTTCTGTGCTCTTCCTTTCCAGTGACCCTTTATTTTGGTCAGTGTCACAGGTGCAACTGGCTGGGGCCAGTGTTGTGGGCAGTAAAAGAATTTATGAACACAATTGTGGGTAAAGAAAGGCAGATTTATTAAGGTACAAAGATACGTTGCAAGAGTGCAGTGGGCAGCACAGCAGAGAAGGGGCTGTCTGCCAAGAGGCAGGGGCTAGAAGGAAGTTTTATAGGGTCCTATTGGAGGAGCTACATGCTGGTAAGGTGTGCAGGTAAGGTTTTGCTGCTGGGGCTACATGTGGAAGGAATGAGGTATTTGGGAACAGGATGTGCCAGCAGCTTATCTGTGATTAGTCATCTCTCAGAACAGTTGTTCCCCCACCCCTAACCCCCACCTGGGACCCCTCCCTTGTTGTTGTTTACTTATCTTATGAGAACTTCACAGTCAGTGCTGTCACCAGGGTGCGCCCTCAGCATAGTGTCTACTCTGAGATGTCTCTGGAGTCTTCCTCTTCCTTCCTTCCCTCTGTTACTAGTTTAGAGCTCTGTCATCTCTCAGTAGTGTAGTGTAGGCTTCAGAGACAGATGGGAGTTTGAATCTCAGCTGTTGCTGCCACTTTCTGGTTATGTGACCTTTCTTTCACAAGTTATTCCAACACTCTGAATCTCAGTTTCATCTTAGAAACAGGGGGTAATAGTAGTAGGAATAACCACACAGGGTTATTGTGAGGACCAAAGTGAGTTTTGATGTATAAACGACCTGGCACATACTAGGTGCCTAATACAAGTCCTGTCTTTTCATTTTCCCTTTGCCTTCCCCTCACTGTGTTGCCTTATTCACTTATGTGACATCCTTTTCTCTAGTATTTCCCCTTCATTCTCTAAATGGTTACTGTATTAGTCCATTTTCATGCTGCTGATAAAGACATACCTGAGACTGAGCAATTTACAAAAGAAAGAGGTTTAATTGGACTTACAGTTCTGCACGGATGGGGAAGCCTCACAATCATGGTGGAAGGCAAGGAAAAGCAGGTCACATCTTACATGGATGGCAGCAGGCAAAGAGAAAGAACTTGTGCAGAGGAACTCCTCTTTTTGAAACCATCTTATCTCATGAGATTCATTCACCATCACGAGAACAGCATGGGAAAGACCTACCCCCATGATTCAACCACCTCCCACTGGCCGCCCCCCGCCCCCCCCACCGACAACACACAGGAATTCAAGATGAGATTTGGGTGGGGACACAGCCAAACCATATCAGTTGCTAAAGTTATCTTGGCATATTATTACTCTGCTCAGATTTTTTTCTGGATAATACCTGCAGAATAAGGTCCATTCCACATATTATCACATTTTACACTACATGGCCTAATTCTGTTGTGACCCACTTTTCTCATCCCAGCACTGCCTCGTTCCTTCCATGGAAAATGGGATCCATACAGCCTGCTGGAATGCCCATTTTCTACTAGAGCTGGAATGCCCATTTTCTCCTATAGCATTTACAGACCTGACTTGGCTCAGTTTCCTCTTCCTGGAATACACTCTGCCTTATTTCCTTCTGGAAAAATCTCCATTCAGCAGCCATCTCCCTTGTGCCAAAAACTGCTCAGTGGTAGGGAGCTCAAAGATGAATAAAATCTGGACCCTGTTCTCAATATCACAGAAGTGTTATGAGCAAAAGAAGCACAGAACATGTTTCCTGAGCCTGAAATGTTAATCACTGTTGAAGTGCGAGCTGGGTAGAGAGTCAGGGAGGTCTGCACTCCTCCAGGGTTTGGCATGCCATCATATTTGTGATTGAGAAGGATCATGCTGGCTGCAGAGCAAAGGATGGCATGGAGGGCAAGAATGAAGGCAGGAGAAGAGTCCAAGTGCATGAGCCAGAGTGGTGCAGGAAGAATAGATACTGAGTGTGGGACCTGAGGAAGAGAAGGGGCTCAAGGATATTCCCAGTTTGCTAATTCAAATGCATGAAGCTTTCATCAACCAAAATATATCACATGGAGGGTAATGGGGTCGAGAGAGACAAGGTAGTGATCTAAATTTGGAACATGTTGAGATTTAGATCTATATAGCATCAATTGCAGATGCTATATAAGACTGAAGTCCTGGGGCATATCAGGGATAAAGATATAGCTTGGTGGCCATTAGCATATCCGTGGTTCTTAACCTTCGTGATGGTCAAAATACCTATGCAGAAGGACTGGAGTGAGAGGGAAATGGGACTTAGGACATATCCCTACCACTATATAGACAAACTTTGGAGAATCAGGAGAGAGTAAAGCCAAAGGAGGAGAGACAGGTCATGGAGGAGGCACAGGAATTGGCAGCATAAACTGGAGGAGAAAGGCCAGATGAGGTGAGTGGGATTTGGCCCTTCAGGAGCCGTTAATGGCCTCAGGGAAAGCAGTCAACTGTGTGAGGGGTAAATTCACTGTTATCTTTGCATCAGTTTGCTGGGAAAAGCAGAGGAGGTTGGCTATTTTTTAGATGAAAGGAAAAAAAGCCCTTCATTAGTAGTATACTGAAAACTGTCTCTCATTTTAATCTGTATTCCTGTAATAATTATTCAGGCTGAAGAATTTTTCTATATGTTTGTTGACCATTCATATTTCTTTTCTTTTCTTTTCTTTTCTTTTTGAGATGGAGTCTCCCTCTGTCACCCAGGCTGTAGTGCAGTGGCACAATCTTGGCTCACCTCCGCCTCCTGGGTTCAAGCAATTCTCCTGCCTCAGCCTCCCTGAGTAGCTGGGATAGGTGCACGCCACCACACCTAGCTAATTTTAAAAATATTTTTAGTAGAGACGAGGTTTCAGCATGTTGGCCAGGCTGGTATTCGAACTCTTGATCTCAGGTGATGTACCCACCTCTGCCTCCCAAAGTGCTGGGATTACAGGCATGATCCACCACGCCCGGCCAACCCTTCATATTTCTCTTATGAATTATGTACTCATGCCTTTCATCCTTTTTTCTACTGAAAATGACATGTTTGTTTTTTTCTTTATAAGACTGATTTAAATCAAACCTTTGCCTGTAATATGTATTGCAAATGTTTTCCTCAGTTGGTTGTCAGATCTCATTTATAGTAATAACAGCAAATATATATATGAGTGTGTATGTATATTCATTCACTTAGGAATAAACTTTATGAGAATTGTGTGGCATATAGAAAGAAAACTGTAAAACCTTGCTGAGGTATTTACAGACCACTTGAATAAATGGAGAGAAATAGCAGTGCTATATATTGGAAATATTTTTTCCAAATAAATATTGCAGTATCATTGTCTGAGGTATTACCCAGAACTCTTTGTCTCATGACCAGAAGAATAAGGAGCGTGGACACTAAGGGTGAGTTTGGACTAAAAGTTTAATAAACGAAAGAGGAAAGCTCTTCACTGTGGAGGGGGGACCCAAGAGAGTTGCCATTTCACAGCTGAGTACAAAGGCTTTTATGAGGAACCTGATAGGGCTGGGTGTTTCACTTGCATAAGGCGTGAATTTCTGGCAGCTCCACCCCGTTCTCCTAGTATGCTGACTGGCTGGGGGTTGTTTTTGGAAAAGGCACCACTCAGAAAATGACATGATGGTTGACCAGGCATGATAGCTCATGCCTGTAATCCCAGCACTTTGGGAGGCCAAGGTGGGCAGATCTCTCAAGGCCAGGAATTCAAGACTAGCCTGGCCAATATGGCAAAAGCCCATCTCTACTAAAAATACAAAAATTAGCCAGGTGTGGTGGTGAACACCTGTAATCTCAGCTACTTGGGAAGCTGCAGCACAAGAATCACTTAGACCTGGGAGGTGAAGGTTGCAGTGAGCCAAGATTGTGCAACCATACTCCAGTCACTCCAGCCACGTGATAGAACAAGCAAGACTCCATCTCAAAAAACAACAACAACAAAAAAAAACATGGTGTAAAGACCAATTGGAGCCTTGGCCCACAACCAGCTAAGTGTCAGAGTGATGGTTCACAGAGGCTTGACTCACAGTCCAAAGTATGCCCCCAAAAGGAAAGGAATGTGCTCATTGGAGGCCACCATGTACATGCCCACAAAAGGAGAAGGAACTGTTTGCTGGAGGCCCACTGATTGCACAAAGGACAAAGGCATTTCTGTGTTGGGCTTGCTCCCTTATCTGTGCAGCTGTGGGCATGTTTTAGGCAAGCTTCCTGTGCTAGTTCCCTTATCCGTGTCTGCAGCTTGATTTTTCAGACTGTTCTTTTGTTTGAAAGAATTCTGAGGACCTGCCCTAACTGCCTGCCTCACTGGTTCTTTCTTTCTCCTCCCTCAATATGTGGATTTATGGCTATTTCAATCAAAACCACAGTAGGATTTTATTTTTTATTTTTTATTTTTATGGTATAGGGAGATCTCAGCAGGTTGGAGAATCCTGGAGCTTCTTAAGTAGCCAAAAATTTTGAAAAAGAAGAACAGTGAAGTGGTACTTACCTTTCCAAACGTCAAAATATATTACAGAAATTATGGTCATTCAAACAATATGATAGTAGCACCCAAATAGTTAAAACAGTGAGAAGAGAAAGCTAGAAATAAATCCTAGTATGTATCATAATTCAGCACAAATGAAAAGTAACATCACAAGTCAGTGTGAAAAGAAAGGATTATTCAAATAAATGCTGCTGGGCCAATTGGTTAACAGTTTGGGGAAGATTGTGAAATCAGACCCTATATAATATGATACAACAAAATAAATTTAAAAAATCAAAGAGGTTGTATCTAAAAAAGTTGTACATTCAAAAATGAAATAAAGGAATATAGGTAATTTTTTTTTTAACAGGGAAGATCTAGCTGTTCAAAATACATAGAAAAAAAATCACAGAATTAGTAATAATTCAACTTTAACAACAAAAAGCTGTGTAGTAAAGCAAATAGTATCTACTCCCTAGAATTGTCATTTTCAATAATGTATCTATTGAATTATACATTATGATTAAATAATCATAAATGTCCACAAAAATTTAGTTACAAATGAGGTCATTATATGATGGTATTATTTTTAATAGTGAAAAATCACTAGTAACCTAAAAATCTGGCAGGAAATGATTAGTTATATTATATTCATAAAGCAGAATATTATGTTTGCTTTAAAATAGCTGTATAGAAGAATATTTAGTAACCTGGATATGATCTGTAGGTGATTGAAAAAAGCAAGCTCTGAGAGGACATCTAGGATGTGGTCCAATTTTTTGTTTCAAAATGAAGCAAAAACCATATGCAGAAGGGAAAAATTGAAATTGTTATAGTCTCTGGACAGTGAGATTATGGGTGATTTTTTTTTTCTTCTACTTACCTGATTTTCAGATTTTCTTTTTTTTTTTTTTTAATTATTATATATGTTTTTGAGACGGAGTCTCGCTCTGTCGCCCAGGCTGGAGTGCAGTGGCGTGATCTCGGCTCACTGCAAGCTCCGCCTCCAGGGTTCACGCCATTCTCCTGCTTCAGCCTCCCGAGTAGCTGGGACTACAGGCGCCTGCCACCACGCCCAGCTAATTTTTTGTATTTTTAGCAGAGATGGGGTTTCACTGTGTTAGCCAGGATGGTCTCAATCTCCTGACCTGGTGATCCACCTGCCTCAGCCTCCCAAAGTGCTGGGATTAGAGGCGTGAGCCACCGTGCCCGGCTATTTTCAGATTTTCTATAGTGAAAACAGTAATAAGGAAAAAGACAGGACAAGTTATTTTTTAAATTAAGAAAATGGAACAGATTGTGTTTCTGTGGAAAAAGACTAGAGTGAAAGTTCTCATAGATGCCTCAAGGAATTTGTCCATTTGTGTCACTAATACTTCCTTAGCATTTAGCAATACTGGCTAGTCAATCAAACACTAAGAGTAAAAGTAAAACAGTGTTGACACCTTTTTGTCATTTCAATCTTATTTCTGTTAGAACAAGGGTGGTCATTTTTCTGGTTTTGAACTACCTGCTGATAAACTACCTCTGAGTTCTTAAGAACTGTTCGGGGCAATTAGTCACACTTTGACTGCTTTTGAATTAACGAGTTGTTTTCTTACACCCAGGGTTTTCCACGCAGACTGTAGCTGCTGTGGGAAACAGGAGGCAGTGGGATGGAGGAGCGCCTCAGGCTCTGCTGCAGATGATGGCAGTGGCCGACATCACCTCCACCTGCCCCACGGGGCCTGACGGTGAGTCTGTGCTTAGCGTCAGTCGTCAGGAAGGGAAGACCAAGGACCCGTACAGCCCGGTGCTCATCCTGATGTGATAGTCTACTTCTCAGTACAACCCCTATAGACTTGTATCAGACACTTTCAAATATGTTGTTTTGATATCTCCCTACTCCTAAAGAGACTTGCCTGCTAATTATCCTGGACAGACGACCGCTCTAGACATGTACATATAAAGGAGGAAAAATCCAGGATGCCACCTTCCTCGGAGTGAGGGAAAATGCATGAGGAAGGGCAGCTGACTTGATTTACTTTCCAAGGCCAGCTCAGCAACTTTTTTTGGGATTTCATAGGGTCATTTTTTTTCTACCAGTAAAATTAGAATTAAAAGAGTAGCTATCTCTACAAGATTTAGAAAGTTAATAGTTCAAAGATACATATAAATTGCTTTGAAGCCGATGTGCTATTTAAATGTTAGAAGTGTTTAGGATATGATGATGTTTTCTACCTAAATTCCTCCATTTACATTTGAACCTCTCACATAGCCTTTCCTTAGAAGAGGATCATAGCAGGCTGGGCGCGGTGGCTCACGCCTGCAATCCCCGCACTTTGGGAGGCTGAGGTGGGCAGATCATGAGGTCAGGAGTTCAAGATCAGCCTGGCCAACATGGTGAAACCCCATCTCTACTAAATATAGAAAAATTAGCCGGGCATGATGGCACACACCTGTAATCCCAGCTACTCGGGAGGCTGAGGCAGGAGAATTGCTTGAACCTGGGAGGCAGAAGTTGCAGTGAGCCAAGATCGTGCTACTGCACTCCAGCCTGGCTGACAGAGCGAGACTGTCTCCAAAGAAACAAACAAAAAGCCATAACAGCCTCCAACCTCTGGATGTTATCTTCACAGGTGGTAAAGATTTTTATTACTCGTTTCCTATGTTCTTGATAACATGGGCTGAGAGGGAGCTAAAATTTGTACATGTGCTGTAAGATGAAATATGTAAGTATATCACTGAAATGAGCAATTATGTGTATAAATTGAATTTCCCCTCAATTGTCTTATTAAGTTATAAATCAATTTAAAATAGGCAAACAGAATAAAAATTTTATCATACCGAAAAGCCAGTTTACAAAGCAATGAGTGACTCTTCCCCCCATCAGCTATGTGACAAGAAGTCACTAAACTTTTCTATACCTCAGCTTCTTTATTAGTAAAATGAGAGGTGGGATTAGGTTACCTCCAAAGTTTTAACATTCTGTGATCTTATACAAATACAAGTGAAGAAGCATTTTTATTTTTAATAACACTTTCCTCTTCAGATGGTCAAGTTATTGTGATTGAAGGCATTCCAGAAAACCGGAAACAGTGGCGGCATGAAGCTCCAGGAACTTTAATGAGTGTTTTGGCAGCAGCACATCTAACGAGTAGCTCATTTTCTGCCGATGAAGGAGAATTTGGTATGTAGTTTATTTTTAACAACATAACCAGTCCCCAGAGGAATTTTGTCAAGATTTGCAAATGCCGAAAGGGGATAAAAATATCTTCAGCTGGGAGAGAGAATTGGGAGGGTGTCTAGCCTTTTCAGAAGCTGATTTTGCTCTATCCAATCCTATTCCAAATGCTACTAACAAAAGGCATGAGCTTTCCAGGAGAGTGGTGTAATTTTCTTTAATGCAATCAGCTGACAACTGGTGAAAAGTTTAAGTAGGGCTAGTGGCTTTGCAGCTGATGATCTAGTATTGTTTTGCTCTACCTGAGTTAGTTTATTTCTGATAGCTATTCAGTGAACTATCCCATGGACAATAAAAATACACCATAATATCATTTGTTTTTTTCCTCCAAGTTTTAGCAAGATTCTGCTTTTGTTTACTTTAAGGCAGGAGTCCCCAACCCTCGGGCCGCAGACCAGTACCAGTCTGTGGCCTCTTAGGAACCAGGCCACACAGCAGGAGGTGAGTGGCGGGCAGGTGAGCTTTACTGCCTGAGCTCTGCCTCCTGTCAGATCAGCAGCTGCATTCAGTTCTCATAGGTGCATGAACTCTATTGTGAACTGTGCATGTGAGAGATCTATGCTGTGTGCTCCTTATGAGAATCTAATGCCTGATGATCTGAGGTACCCAAAACCACCCCCCTTCCCTGCCCCCATCAAAAAATTGTCTTCCATGAAACTAGTCCCTGGTGCCAAAAAGGTTGGGGACTGCTGCTTTAAGGGAAGCCAACCATCATTTTCTAAAATTTGAGGGGCCTGGATGTAATGGCTCACACCTATAATTCTAGGACTTTGGGAGGCCAAGGCAGGAGGATCTCTTGAGGCTAGGAGTTGGAGGATGCTGTGAACTATGATCACTGCTCTTCAGCCTGGCTGACAGAGCAAGAACTTGTCTCTAAAAATAAAGCTTGAGGGAAATCACATCATAATGAGGGTTTGGTCTTATATTAGGTATTCAAGTGTGAAGTGCTACAAGATAAGCTACCGCAGGCAAGCAAGGATCCCAGGAGCATCTCCACGAGTGTGAGGTCTGGGACCTGGTATTGTGGTGAAGTTGGGTTGAGCAACAAGTAGAAAAACTAAGGTACTAGATACTCTTGGAGGCTGATAAATGTTTACAGAGTTAGGCCAGGCGTGGTGGCTCACGCCTATAATCCCAGCATTTTGGGAGGCTGAGGCAGGCAGATCACCTGAGGTCAGGAGTTCAAGACCAGCCTGGCCAATGTGGTGAAACCCCGTCTCTACTAAAAATACAAAAATTAGCTGGGCATGGTGGCAGGTGCCTGTAATCCCAGCTACTTGGGAGGTTGAGGCAGGAGAAATGCTTGAACCTGGGAGGCAGAAGTTGCAGTGAGCTGAGATCGGCCATTGCACTCCAGCCTGGGGGACAAGAGTGAGATTTCGTCTTAAAAAAAAAAAAAAAAAAGTTTACAAAGCTAATTACCACTACAAAAACAAAGTAAATTTTAACTGTCAGTTGAGTCCCAACAATTAATGACTACACATTTTATAATAGTTTGAAAGAGGCTTTGTAATGGAATTTTTTTATGTGAAACAGGACATTATACTAACACATCTAAATATCTTTGTTTCTCTGAAGTACGAAGCCAAAAGTTTAAGATTATAAACTCATAATTAGTCATTAATGTCTCAGCATTATATGTTATTTGGAGATCATCTAGATAGTTAATGAATACCTATCATTTAACTTAGCTTAGCAAAACTCGAGGAGAAAAAGTTACCAAAAGGATTTTAAAAACCTTTTTTAAGTAAACACATTATAAAACCTAATTATTATTAAAACTTCTACCTGACCAGGCTCATGCCTATAATTCCAGCCCTTTGGGAGGCTGAGACAGGAGGATCACTTGAGCCCAGGAGTTCGAGGCTGCCTTGAGCCATGTTCATGCCACTGCACTCCAGTTAGTGTGACAGAGTGAGACTCCAACTCTAAACAAACAAACAAAAACCTTTTATTTTGTTACATTTATTTATTCCTTCTTAAGAACTATGTTTGGAAATTTTTAGGAAACATTCGACAAATCTAGCCATCATCTTATTTCTTTATTAATCATTTCTACAGTTTGTGAATGTTAGGCAGTCACCACCAAAGCAAAAGCCCTAAGGTTAATACATGGATGTTTTGCTGATCAAATTACACTGCTGCTTTCATTAAACCAACAAATTAGTCTTATTTACCAAAAATTTACCCAACTTACAATAATTAAAAGGCATTTGAGTTCATTTCTACTTTTCTGATAAAATATATCATTTAAGCACCTACTTTTTCTTTAAGCCAATTAACTATAGCTCTTTCATATATTTTGGTAGTGAAATATCAACCAAACACAGGTTCAGCTGCCCTCTGCTTGCAAAATTGAATAACAAGGACAAGGTGCAGTAGAAGGAAAGTGCCTTTATTTTTCAGTGCTAGCAGTGGGGAGATGGTTCAGGCTCCTGCCTTAATAAAACCACTTCAGAATTCTCAGGTGAAATGCTAGGACTTAAGAAGGGGAAGTTTGGTATGGAGGGCATGTGGGGCGAGATGGTGCAAGTCTATGAGACTTGTTCCAATGACTCAAGTTATTGCCCCATCTGGTGAATGGGCTGGTACCATCTCAGGCTTGTCTGGGCTGTAAATTAGCTGCAGCCTTGTAATCTCCTGGTGGGGTAGAATTTCATAGGCATCTGGATTGTCTCAAGATTCAGTCTCTGGAACTTCTAAGCAAACATAATTAGATAAGCCAGCAATGCAAGGGAGTGCTTGGTGGAAAGAAAGTCAAGATTATTATTTCATTACTAAAAAGTTAATACAGAGGGCTGCAGGAGGAAAAAAAATTAAAAATAGGGCACTCAGTTACAAAATCACATACACATGATACATATAAACATACACGCAGAAGCAGATTTTATAGCTTCATAAGGCTTTCATTTGCCAGTTTTCAAATAATTTTTCCTCCAACTTGATCTTATTTTTTATTTTATTTATTTTTTTTGAGACAGAGTCTCACTTTGTCACCCAGGTTGGAGTTTTGGCTCACTGCACCCTCTACCTGCCAGGTTCAAGCGATTTTCCTGCCTCAGCCTCTGGAGCAGCTGGGATTACAGTCGTGTGCCACTACGCCCAGCTAATTTTTGTATTTTTAGTACACACGTTCACCATATTGGCCAGGCTGGTTTCGAACTCCTGACCTCAAGTGATCC